GGTGGCAGCTGCAGCGCGGAGGGTGGGGGGTGGGGGGGATGGGAGAAAAGCTGGCCGGAAAAATAAAATAAATGGCCCAAAGAAAAAGAAGTCGCATGAAAACAAGTCGACTGGAGGATTTTCTTAACCATGTGTGTGTTTAAGCTGCCCTCTGGGAGGAAGAGCAAACATTCACTGCTTGATATCCGAGTTCTCGAATATTCTGTGAGACCGAGCCACAGGATTCCCGCCGGGTGGTGCTTGGAGAAAGGCCGTGTGGGGCCGAGCCCGTGGCGCACTCGGGAGGGTGCAGCGCTGGGAGCGCGGGAGCGCTGCCGCCGCGGGTTCGGATCCTATATAGGGATGACCGGTGCGATGCGGCTGGTCTCAAAAAAAGGACAAAAAAAAAAAAAAAAAGGCGGTGTGAGGGCAACTCTGTCCCCGCAGACGGCGGCCGAGGATCTTGGGCGGGAGTCGGCTTTGTTTCCGTTTCCTCCTGATACCGGGGACAGGGTCTGGGGAGGTCTGATAGGTGACCTCCAACCATCCCAGGCCCTACCAAGTTCTTGACTCCGCCACAGGAAATAATTCAGGAGCAGTCACAGTAAAAATGGAAACAGGTTTAACGCAAGGAATAAGAAATACTGACTTCACAGGGAACGTGCGGCTAGGTCCAGAGACTAAACGGCAGCCACACCAAGTTTAATGCACAAGTAAGAAATATACAATGTGCAAGGTGCAGACTGGTTCCAGAGCGAGCATCAGCCTGCCGAAGGCAAGCCTAAGTGTTAGAGAAGTAAGAAATACCCACCTCGCAGGCGAAGTGCGGGCTGGTCCAGAGACACCGGGCAACAGCTCCCGTCTACACATAGTCATGCGGTCTGATGAATATTCAACTAAGGGGGTGGTTCCAGTTATGTAATACAGCTGTGCACATGCTCCATTGGTCTCTTTGAAGCATGCTCATTGGTCAAATTCCATCATATGCACCAAATACACTTAGAATATTCTAGGTGCACTCTAGTGCCTGCAGGGGAGGTCATTCAAAGGATAAACTCCTTTTTACTGAGCATGCTCAGCCACTGAGGTTACACAAGTCTGCCTCCTGTGGTCTTGGTTTCCACATGCTGGTACTGAAAAATAGGTGCTACAGGCAGCAGCAGCTCAGGACTTAGAGGAGGAGCTTGAGTCCTAGGGGAGTGGCCCGAAACTGGACCCCAGGAGGACTGAGCACTTCCTATCTCACTCCCAGGTAGGACAATCAGAAATCTGGTTTTAGTTTGCTGGCCCTGGGAACCAGCTGGAGGAGTAAAGAGGTGGCAGCCCTGTGCCCAGGGGAGTCTGGGAAGCCTGAGAAAAGGGTGTGGCCCAAATGGGCCATCCCAACCATGTTGTCACCACTTGGTGATGGGCATCAAGGGACATCAGGGGCATTTCTCCCTTGGCATTGAAGAACATACCACTGTTTGTCTTTAGGAAGTGAGAGGAATGCCATAGATTTTGAAATAGATTTATTTTCAGTAGTGACTGAAGTGATGGGGCCACCTATTTTTTAAACAAGTTTCCCCAGGGTCCATGGGCATCAAAGATAACTGAAATCTCAAGTTGTTTTTCTGAAGTCATAGACTGCTTCAGACACGAGCACTTTGTGCCCTCACGGCCATCCATTTTGAACCCTTTGTACTTGCTCTCCACTGTGCCAAGCATTTCATATTATTTGCTGTATAGAACATCCCTGTAAGATAGCTAGTATCATCTCCATTTTATAAGTCAGGAAACTGAGAGGTTACATTTCCCAGGGTCAAATTAAGTGGCAGAACCAGGATTCATGCTCAGAGCTTGCTGAATCTAAAACTCAGGGTCTTAACTACAATTCTGTGTAGCAAAAATTTTCAAGAACATGCCTCATTAGAACATTGACTAAAATGTAGAGAAAAGTTATGAGAGCGGTACAAAGAACTTTTTTCCCCATGAGCCACTGGAGAGTAGATTGCCACTGTGATGTCTCCTCAACCCTAATACCTGACTACAGGCACAGACAGTCTCGTACGTAACTCAGCTCAGCCATTAAAATCAGGAAGTTAGCACTGATACATTACTCCCTTTTAAAACCCAGAATGCTCTTTAGTTTTACCAAATATTCCCATAAGGTCCTTTATAGCAAAAGGATCTCATTCCAATATGCTCCTCCACTCTGGAGCAGTTCTTCAGTCTTCCTTTGCTTTTCACGACCTTGGCACTTTTGAAGATGACAGGCCATTCATTTTGCAGAATGTGTCTCACTTTGGGTTTGTCTGGTGTTTCCCGTGATTAGATAGGGGTCGTATATTTTTGGCAGAGATATCCTAGAAGTGATGTGTTGTTCTCAAGAGAACACTCTCAAGTACCAGTGCGTCGATGACCTAACCCAGGGTTCTTCTGTTTCATTTTCAGATGGAATTTAGGCAAAACATATAATATTGTTTTGGGGTCTGGACAAGTCGTGTTGGGAATGGACATGGGTCTCCGAGAGATGTGTGTCGGGGAGAAACGGACAGTGGTCGTCCCGCCCCACCTGGGCTACGGCGAGGCTGGTGTGGGTGAGTGAGCCGCAGCACTCGACGGTGTTGGGGGCACGTTCACCATCTCAATTCTGTGCTTTTGGGGGTGCTGTAGTTAGAACCACAATATGCTTCTTTTACTTAAAACCCAAAGAATTGTGGTTTTTCTATTGAAGTGTCTAGCATTTTTGTTTAAAGACCCCGTGAATTCAGTGAGCCATGCTAATGCCCATTACCCTCCTGAGGAAGACTGAGTTTCAGCAAAATAAACCTTGGATCCACAGACCCACGAGTGGAAGGCGTCCCTGGGGGAGTGCTGCAGGCACGATCTCTGGCGTCAGGCTGGGCGTTTCCTTCTGTAGCTGTTCCTGGGACAGCTGGAGTGCTGTGGCCGTTGCTTTTCACTTCTCCTGAGCCGATAAGCTCTCCAAGAAAATTTCCTTTGGAAGAGATTAGTTTCAAGTTCTGGAAGTACTGGCTTTACCCCATCCTCAAAGGGGTTCTGTTGTCCTTTATGATTTTGGCCAGAATGTGTCCTCCATGTGGAGGATTTGGGGAACGCTTCTTTTCATCTGGACATGAAGGAGCTGGAAAGTGCTAACTTGTAAAAGTGGTAGGCACATTGGGTTGATTTTTTTTTCCTTTCACAACTTTTTAAATACTTGTAAAAGTACTATCTGCTCTTCCTACCAGTCCAGAAGAAAGACTTTAAAAAATATGTTGTGTATCTTTGAAGACATTTCCTTTAATATATTATTATAAATAATTACAACGTAATATATTACACATAAAATATAATCTAGATAATATATAGTATAATAATTCTGAATAATATATATTACGTTTGTATATTCACATAGTTATATAACTTCTTTTGGGCTCATACTATTTATACTGTTCCTGAATGTGTGTTTACAGTCATGTCTCGGATTGTCATTGTTAGGCATTCTATTATTATTCTTAAAGTTGTATCATTAGATTCATTCAAAAGTTCTACCACTGTAGTCTCTACTAGCGGCTTTCAAACTTTTTTCACCAAGACACACAGTAAGAAATACTCGTATATCTTATCTCCCAATCTGTGCACATAAACATACAATGTATACGTACATACATTTAATTTTATATATGAAATTGAAACTCAATTTTCATGAAACAGTACCTATCCTTTTCTGTGTGCAATGTATTCTGACCTACTTTATTCTATTCTTCAATTTAAAAAGAAATGCTTCTCATTGCCCTGTAAACTGACTTCATGACTTATGATTGGGTCACTGCCTACAAGTGAAAAAGCTACCAGCCTCTGCTACACTTTGTTGCTTTCACAGAAATGCCCGCCTGGGTGGGGCGGCTGAAGGCAGGGCGGGGAGGGCGCTTGCTTGGCCTTAACCACTGCCCTGCAGGTAACACTGCCTCCTCCGTCTCGGAGCAGATGGGGAAGTGCCCGGCAGTGCTGTGTTGGTGTTTGACATCGAGCTGCTGGAGCTAGTGGCCGGCCTGCCTGAGGGGTACATGTTCGTATGGAATGGCGAGGTGTCACCCAACCTCTTTGAGGAGATCGACAAGGACAGCAATGGAGACGTCCTCCTTGAAGAGGTAACTGGCCTTTGCAGGATGGCGAAGCAGAAGGAGCTCGGGGGCCTCGTAGGGCCCGGGGACCCATTCTGAAAGTGAGGCCTTCTCAGAGTGCAGAGGACAGCTGCGCCACATTTCTCCTGATGGTGGTGGCCGGCTCGCTCGTGTACTGAGTGCTTTTACACACACACTGTGAATGGAAGTTCCCCGTTCCTCTCTGAAGAAAGTGAGCCCTGACAGGTGCAGGTCTGGATTCAGTTCTAGGTGGCTGGGTGCCCACTGCACGCCTGCAGGGTGCTAGGTGTTTTCACATATGTTCTCTGGCTCGGCCCTCACAACAGCTGTCATCATCCCTATTTTTCAGAAGAAGAAATTGTGCACAGAGAAGGGAAATGACTTCCCCAGGGTCACACAGTTCCCCAGAGGTTTGAGCCAGAACCACATGCTCCTTCATGGAACTGGGCCATGGAGTATCCTGCCAAGTCCCAGCCCTGGGAATTCCTGCTCCCTGCCTGGTCCACATCTGCTTATCCAAGCGCATCCCTCCTGCCTTCTCCCCTGTCTCTCCTACACCGTCAGCGTTTCCCCTGCTTCTGGATTGTCCTCATTAGCATGCAGACGTGTTATTAGTTTCCCTTCTTTGGTGTGCCTTTCCATCTCTTTCATTTCTTTGCTTCCTTTTCAGCAAAAACCTCAAAAGAGCTGTCCATCCTCCCTGCCTCCGATCCCTCTCCTCCTGTCTGTTCTAAACGCACTGCTGTCCGGCTTCTGTCCCTGTGCACCTCTGAGCCGGCTCTTGCCTTCCGTGTTGCTGAGTCCAGCAGTTGGTCCTCACACCCCCGCCACTTGGACACAGCTGACTCCTCTGCAGGACGCCGCTCCCCCCGCTCCCAGGACGGCACGCTTTCTTGGTGTCCCTTCTGCCTCCCTGGTTGCCCCTCCTCAGGCCTCGTCAAGTTGGAGCGTCTGGGGCCAACTCCTGAACTTCATTCTCTTCTCCTATTTACGTCCCTCCCGTAGCAGTCCCATCCTGTCCATGGCTTTACCATCCATATCCTGATGGTTTCCACATTTGTAGCTCTAGGCCAGTCTTCTCTCCACTTCATACTCATCTAGACGGTTGCCTACCTGCCGTCTCCATTTATTGACAGCTGATAGCCTCACCCCCCGTCCCTGAAGCCCGCTTCACCTAAAGCCTTCCCCATCACAGTCAGTGGCAACTCTCCCCTTCCAGTCGCTCAGGCGAGAGCGCTCAGTAATCTGTTCCCTTGCGGGCCATGATAAACCCATTGGGAAATCACTCCAGCCCTGCCTCCAGAACAAGTGCAGAGCCTGCCACTTCTCACCGTGCCCTGCACAGCCCCTTAGCCTGGCGGGGTCCCATCGCTGCAGTGGCCTAGGGGAAGCTCCTCCTGCTTTCCCATTTCCCTATGGCAGCCAGGGGTGTCCTTCTCAGTCAGTCTTAGATGCTGCTTCTCAGACCTGCAAGGGTCCCATCCAAAGGCCTTCCAGTGGACTGGAAAGCTGCGGCCTCCCCCACCTCAACGCCCACTTCTGTGCGCACCCCAGGCACGCATCCAGCCCGGGCCTTTCACCCGCTGCCCTCTGCGCAGAACACGCGTTCCCAGATACCTGGCTCACTCCCTCACTCCCTCACTCCCTTCAAGCCTCTGCACAGTTCTCCCCTCATGACGGTTGTACCCTGACTGCCGAATTTAATACTTCAACCCACCCTCCCTTCCTTAGCTCGATGTTTTCATTCTTTCTGGAGCACTTCACTTTGTAACTTAATATGTGATTTACTTGTTTATTGGGTGTGTGTTTAATTATCTGTCTTTCCCACTAGAAGGCAAGCATTATAAGGGCAGGATGTCTTTGTTTGTGTATTGATGTACACAGTGCAGGGGCAAGAACGGTGCTCAACGTGTTTGTGGCCACTCAGTGAGTTTCCACTGTATGAATGAGTGCGTGCATGCACACAACAGTGTTGTTAGAGGCTAGAGTGCTTAGGGATCAGCCTTTGGTGGGGAGCTAAGTCGGGAGAAGGGATGGCTCTGATGGCTGCTATTCATTTGCCTCCTAGATTCTAAGGGCTCTTGGAGACATTTAGCCCAGGGGTTTTCATCTGCATCTGGAGAAAAAAAAACCAAGTCACATAGGCCCCAAGAAGATTTTATCTGTTTTGGTAGCTCAGACTCAAGGTGCAGCCCCATCACCCACCCTTGTGCTGCCCTACATCAGGCTCCTGGCTCTGCATTCTTGGCTGCTGTGTTCACGGTCTATCCTGTCCCCTTTCTCTCCAGTTCTCAGAGTACATTCATGCCCAGGTGGCATCTGGCAAAGGGAAACTTGCTCCTGGTTTTGATGCTGAAATGATCGTGAAGAATATGTTCACCAACCAGGACCGCAACGGAGATGGGAAGGTTACGGCTGAGGAATTTAAACTCAAAGACCAGGAGGCCAAACACGATGAACTCTAAACCTGACACAAGCCAGTTGGTGCCAAGGACGGTGTGACACCAAGCCACCTGTGGTGGCAGGATGTGCAGTGAGCGTGCAGGGGTCTCTCAGAAGGTGCATCATTAGCAAGTAGTAGGTGGGTCACTGAGTACCTGGTGTGTGCATCGGGTGGGTTGTACGTGGTGAGAATTTTAGACTGACTGCCAGTGATAGTAAGCAGAATCGTTGCAAAGTGCCTTACCATGGGACGTGTAAAGTTTCGAAAAGGCAGCACTGCCAACCATTTGTGAGCCTTCTGGGGAGTTTTGTTGTTAAAGGAAAATAGTGTCACACCGAAGTTTTAACCATCCTGGAGAGAACAGAAGAAAAAGTGTCCAGGGTAGCTACATAAATAGGGTTAATTTTTTTGTTAACTTGCTGATTTTAAAAATGTCCTCCAGACAGGCAGAATGGATGAAGGGCATGCCCCAGCAGGATTCCCAGAAAACAACCCTTGGCTCTGCTCTGCGATACCTGGCCCCTCCGTCCCCTACACCACACACACACACACCCCGATACCTGGCCCCTCCGTCCCCTACTACACACACACACACACACACACACACACACACACACACACACACGTACTTCAAAAAGTTTGTGGAAAGGGTCACACACACACACAGTGCTTTTCCAGTTCGTCACACCCCACCCGCCGTGGGCCTCCACTTGGCAGTATGCAACTTGGAGGCTTCCTGGACAGAAAAAAACAGCGTGCCAAACAAATGGCATCTTGGACCATGAATAGAGAATTTGATTCTGCGTTTGCCATGTGATTGTTTAGCTCTTTTTTTTAAGTCTATTTTCTTCCATATAAGAATAGCTGCTCCCGCTCGTTTTTCATTTCTCTTTGCCTGCTCAGCTCTTTCTTACCCCATCACTCCGCCCATAGAGCAGTCTCCTCCCCGCCCCGAGTCACGCTGATTAGACCGATGCACGTAGGGCTGGGGTCAGCCAGCATATTTCATTGGCCGGGAGGGATGTGTCATCCCAATAGAGGGGCTGCTGAGCATAGATAAGGGGGCGTTCTGCCACTCATTTGTGTCCCGGAGAGGGTGGTGCCTGAAGGCTGGGGGCCTCTCTGCCGTAGGAAAGCAACGACAGTGTACCTGCTGGCCTGTTCCCACATTTCTCAGTAGCCACATTGCTGCCTATGTCCCCTGTTCCCAAGTGGTAGTGGCACTTCCCTGAAGTAATCAATGATTTTCCTTTTGAAACTGCTTTATTATACTAACTTAAACTATTTTGTACTGATGTAGCCCTGAGATAGTTCATGAAAATGCTGTGCACTTGTTCAGTGGAATAAATGTTGGAAAACTCATCTTTTCTGATATCAAACATTGAATTATATTATCTGGTGTCATGGCATTTTATTTGGGAGCTGAGAGGATCCCATGAGGATGCACCGTGCAGTCAGAATCCCTTTGGTAAAAGTGGCAGGACCACGCTGCGCTCACTGGAAGGGGAGAGAGCGCTGTGGGGCGCATGGGGTACCAGTCAGGGCCCTGGCCGGACCTGGGACTCCTGAAGAGAAGCTGATGAAAGGACAGTTGACAGAGGTGCAGGTGGAGTTCAGGGAACCAGGAAGGATGCTGAGGTACCCTGCCAGCGGTGCTGGCTGGCAACAGCAGGAGGCTGCCTTGTGTGGTGGGAGTCACAGAGGGACGCAGCCTCCCCAGAACTGTGGCTGAAACTGCAGCCAAGGATGAGGGATGGGACACCCCATGCTCTCTGTCCTCCCCCTCTGCCACCTGCCACGGGCTCCCATTAGCTGAACCCCATCCGAAGCCAGAGGGGAAGGAACTGGGGGACTGGAGTTTTCAGAGGTCAGCCACTTGGGGTGCAGAGAAAGGTGGAGAATGAAGCCAGGTAGGGTCGGGGTGGGAGAAAATGGAGAATAACTGGCACATACATAGAAAAAAGTACATAAAATCGTTTTTAAAAGCAAATGTTATTCTTTACTCATTGCAGAAGCAACCTCAGGGCTGCTGCTGCCCTGGACACTAGTGTTCCTCAGCCCTCTTCCACCCAGCTTACAGTCACTCATTTGTCACCTAACAGAATTCCTTAAGTGCATTGGGTTAATCTTGCTTCTTTCTAAATTGAATTGCCCTTTGGAATGCACTTGACCTGTACCCTTCATTATCCTTGCTTGACTTCAGGAAGATAAAAACCTCGTGCTTATTCTCTATCCCAGATTTTTACTGGACATTTCCTAGTGGTGGAGAAAGGTTGGCTACCTCAGAAATAAGTTTCTTTGGGGAAATTAAAAACTGGGCCTTAGAACTTCGGGAACAGAGGGACCCTTTGGTTTGCTGAGATGAGTGCTGCCTGGGAACTTGCATGCTTCCTATTGCTAAGCAGGCTGTTCAGTTACCTGCGGCCACGTCAGGCATCCATGTGTCTGCAGGGCAGGCTGGCCCCACCCTCTCAGCACTCGCTCGTGTTTGCACTATGGTTATGGGTTACAGCTCTGCCAGCGAGGCTGTGAGTGCTCATTATGGGGCCAGATACCGGCAGAGATACCACACAGCACTGTTCTTCCTCACAGCTCATACCCAACTTTTTGTTTTTTTCGGTGGCTGGCCAGTATAGGGACCCAAACCTGTGACCTTGGTCTTATAAGACTGCTCTAAACAACTGAGCTAACCAGCCAGCCACCCACTTTCTGTGTTGCCTCTAGAGGCATCCTGACAGAGGACCTTCTGACAGAACAGCTGTCGAGAGGTGTTGAGACCACCTCACTTACGATCTATACAGATTTTGAACTTTGGACCCTAAATATGAACTAGGTCATTGATGCTCAATGTGGGATGAGAATCTTAGAGAACATGACATCCAAGTATGCATGTGACACAACTTGGCCACTTGGAAGTGTAAGCAATCTGTGCTATTTTGTTAAAACCAGTGAGTTTTGATCTCTGATTATATAGGAATATATAATGTCTTTCAATATAGTTTACTTAAAAAAAAAAAATCAAGGGTTTGGATCCCCATACTGGCTAGCTACCAAAAAAAGAAAAAGAAAAAAGACTGCATTTTGGCAGGGAAGTTGGCTTGACTGCAAGACTACATCAGCACTGTTCCCTGCCCCCATCTGTTAATATCTTGGGTTTCTAGGAACAAAGCTGGTTTTTTGAATCCATTTTCCCTTGGCTGTCTCAGGGACCTGGGGTCTTTCTATTTAATAATATTGCTCCTAATTATTTATTGCTAGTTGCACATATGACTTTCACTCTTAACGTTTAATTGTGTGTGGTCTTCATCTTTAATGGTGGAATTTTGATTGGTCAGGGGATTCCTTCCAGCTTACATTGGCCATATTTAAGTCTCATTTAAATATATAGTTCCTGCCAAAATTTCTCCTTCGTTCTCTAGCCTCCCTATTTGGTATCTTCTCTTGTAAATCTCACACACACCTCAAACTTTGTATGTCCAAAATAAAATGTCTATTCCCACTCCCTTCCCAACACCCTCCACCCGAGCCTATTCCTCTCCCAGTCTTCCCTTGTGCCCATTTGCTGAAAGCAGACACCAGTGAGCCTCTATCCTCCCACCCTGCACATTTAGCCCAGCTGCAAGTCTTGTCAGCTGTCCCCAAACCACTCCCAGAAATGATCCACTTCTCTCTAGCTCCACAGCTCCAGCCCTAGCCTCACTAACCTACCACAATCTCTAGCTTGGACTGCTGCAGGAGCCTCTAACAGCTTTGCTTGCGACTATCTGCCCCCACCAGTCCATTCTCCACGTGGCAGCAGAGTGATCATGGCACTCCACTGCAGGGAGAGAAAAACCAGACTCACAGTGTACAAAGCCCTGCATGATCTGACTTAAGATATGCACCACCCAGTCCCGCTCATCACATGATGCCATGCTTCCCTTTACTGCCAGTCCTGGTAAACCAGTTCTTCGTCCTCTGAACACCCTCCGCTTTCTCACCTAGGACCTCTGCGTGAGCAGTTCCCTCTCCTGGAAATGGTTCTCTTCCTCACTTGCTCCCCGTTGTCCTTCAGGGCCTGGCTTTAATATCACGTCCTCAGCTTCCTCTGACCACCGTACCTATCCCTTGTTACGTGTTTTCTTCGTAGCATTTGTCATTTTTATAAACCCATTCTTTTCTCCCTTGTCTCATCCACTAGGAGCGGAAGCGGCACACCGCAGGGACTTGTTGAATGAGGTTCATTGAACCCTCACCTCTAGCTAATACCCCACCTTCCAGATAAGGAAACCAAGGCTTACAGAAGTTAGGAACTTCCTCTAGTCACAGTTGGAATCAAAGACTCAGATCCAAGTTTGACTTATTTCAAAACCTGTGCTCCTTACACCTCCGGCACTCTTTATCTTGTCCATTAAACCTGTACCGAAACACCAGACTAAATACAAAAAGCAACATGATTGTCGAATCCCAGGGTAACCTGGAGAAGTTTCAGGACAGTCATTCAAGTCATTTATATTTTCCTTGCTCATTCTCCACAGGGTATAGAAAAGGGAAAACGCTGAGCCGGAAGGTTGGTTAAACAGATCTCCAGTGACTAAGTTTCCGTGTCTGTTATTAAATACGCTATGGAATGTAGATTTCACTCTGAAACAAGCTGGTATCACTGACAGTGCTTTTTTTCGTTTCATCAAAATTGTTAGTTCTAACACTCAAAACTGCTTCACCTTATGATGTAAAATTTAAAGTTGAGAGGCTGGCTGGTTAGCTCAGTTGATTAGAGCGTGGTGTTCACCAAGGTCAACGGTTCAGATCCCGGTACCGACCAGTTGCCAAAAAAAAAAAAAAAAAAAAAAAAAAAAAAAAAAAAAAAAAAAAAAAAAAAAAAAAAAAAAAAAAACCCAATAAACAACTTTACTAAAACCACTGGCTAATACTAAGCTCTTTAGAGAAAGTGGTAGTTACCATCACTACCAGTGTTCACCAGGACTGCAGAAGATCCTTCCATTTCACTGATTCAACCAGACGTAGTCCTAAGGGATATAACAACTTCTACTTTTGTGGATGGATTCTAGCTAACAATACTGAATATTTGTGCTAAGCTCTTCTAAATGTACACATAAATTTGAAATGCATACATAAATGCAGATGAGCACATCCTATCCTCACAAATCTAGAGAATATAATTATTTTCACTTCACAGATGAACAAACTGGGAAGACACAGGTTAAATAATTTGTCGTGGTCACACACCTACCAAGTGGTAGGAAGAGGATTCGAATCCAGGCACTCTGACTCCATAGCCCATTTCTAAATGGCTACATTAAACTGCTCTAAAAACTGAACTTGAATACAAATGTTTTAAATATCAGTAGCATCAAGTGG